CCAAGTGCACCCCTGCTCCTGCCTCCACCTGTCCTGGCCACCACCCTCAGTCCCAGCTATGGACCCGGGACACTTCAGTCCTGGTGCTCTTGGCCCTCGCTAACCTCTCCTTACAGCCTCCTCTTCTCTCCCCCTTTCTGACCAGTCCTTCTCTGGCTGTTCCCTGGGCTCTGTCCCCTGCCCGCTCCTCTCCCTGTGGATTTGCTGCCTCCTCCTTGCAAGTCCACTCCCTCCCTGGGCCACTCACCCCTCATCCCAAAGGCTGCACCTGGCTGTGGCCCCTTTCCTGAGCCCCAAGCCCCTCAAATTCCCTATGTCCCTTACCCCACTCTGACACCATCGGCAGCTTGCCTCTTTTCACTAAATGTTCCAGGTTCGGACACCCATCTCTCTTTGACATCCGGACTCTCCAAACAGGCCTCACACAGATTCCCTGCCTCAGTCTCTTCTCCAAACAGTGACCAGAGCAAGGTCTGAAGAGCAAACATGACCTTGTAACCCCTGCTCAAACACTCCCAAGGCTCCCCTCGCCCTCAGCACAGAAGCCACACTCAGAGAGACCTGTGTGACACGGCCCTGCCCACCTATCCAGCCAGACTCTCCTGACCGTTCTGCCTTGGCACTATGGACTGACTTCACACACACCCTGCTCCCTGCGCCTGGCTGCCTGAACGCCAGGTCTCCTTTCGTCCCTACCACCCGTGAGGGGCCATTGCTCTCATCTCCGTTTCAGTCATGAGAGCGCGGAGGCACTGAGAGGGAAGGTGATTGGACTGGGATGTGTGTCTGGCACCAAACGCAAGTTACCTTCCCTGTGAGGCTGCCCTTGACCCCACCTTTCCCTCCCCCTGCGGCCTCCTGTGTTCACAGGGCACTCTGCCCACCCCACTGCAGAGAGGCCTCGGGCGGGGCTCCTGGATTGTCCTGTCCTTCGATGCCCAGGGTTTGGTCTTGGACTTCTGTCCAGCTCAGAAATTGTTGGTAAATGTGGGATGAGCTTGGGGCACAGACAGAAACGAGACTCCATACCTTACCTTCTAGAGGCACATACTCTGGTGGGAAAACTGACCTACAAACAGCCCAAGACCCAAGGGGATCAATGTCCCAAGAGAGGCACAAAGAGCCTGCAGGGCCCAGCTGGTGAGGCTCAGGGGTTGAGCATCGACCCAAGAACCAAGAGGTCGCCAGTTTGATTCCCAGTCAGGGCACATGCCCAGGTTGTGGGCCCAATCCCCAGTGGAGGGCATGCAGGAGGCGGCCAATGTTCTCTCTCATTGATGTTTCTCTCTCTCTCCCTCTCCCTTCCTCTCTGTCTAAAATCAATCAATAAAAAAAAAAAACAAAAAAACCTGCAGGGTCACCAGCTCCAGTGGACAATACTGTGCTTGCTACAGGGGAGTTGGTTGGGTAGGCTCCCCAGAGGGGTCAACTTGTGTCCGGGGCCTTGAAGAATGGAGAAAATTCCAGTGGCGGAATGGGGCACCTACAGGCAAAAGAGCTGGGGAAAGGATTCCAGGCTGGCAGAGGCAGACAGGTGGGAAAGCAGGCTGTACTGTGAGGGCCATGAGTTCAGAGCCTACCGGCTGGTGAGCCACAGGAGGGCACGGCCACCTCCGCCTGCTGCTCCCTGGGATCCCCTGCCAGCACCCAGCTCAGTGCCTGTGCATAGTGGATGTACATAAGGATCTGTTGGAAGCAGGTCTCATGGGGCGTAGTTTTATGCAGTTCGGTGGCCCCGTTTAAGAGAGTGCTAAGTTCCTAGTATAAATGTCGGCACGAGGTGGATGTTAATAGCCACGAGAATGGGAAGCTGTGCAGCAGAGCGGAGGCTGCAGTAACTTCACTGTTCGTCCTCCTCTGAACATAAGGAGCGGGGAGGTTCTCAGAGAGGTGGGGCACCAGCTGACAAGGGTGGCCTTTCTGTCAGTCCCAGAGGCTCAGGTTCAGAGCCACCTTGGAGGCCTCAGCCACCCTCCCACACAAGCCACCATGACCATGCCTCTGCCAAACTGCATGAGCCTCTCTGGCCACATAAAGGCCTGATTCTCCCAGGTCAGGAGACTTCCTCCCCCTAAGCGGGGAGCCAGAGGGTGAATGTGGGCTTCTGAGAACTGTTTGCTGGTCACCCCCTGGCGACCTTGAGCACTCCTCTCTCTGGCCTCAGGGGTCGTAGAGGGTCCATTCTGAAAGCCTTCTTTTTATTCTGGCCTTCTGTTCATCGGAGCGCTGGGAGGCTCTCACAGCAGGGCTGCAGATAATTGCTGTCTGAGAGCCTCATTCAGCTCCCATTGCTGAGGTCTTACAGGGGCCAGCCGGACCAGCTGGGTGGGGGTGGGGGGTGCACCGCCTCAGAGGTGCGGGGCCAACTAGACCCGAAAGATACACTTACAGAGCCTTCGAGCTGAGAGATTCCACGACAAAAGTGCATTTCCTGGAGGAGTCCAGGGAGTCTTCTTAGAGGAGGAGACATTTGATTTGAGAGATGGAGCATTCATTCAACAATTACTTACTGGGCACCTACAGCAGTGAAAATGACAAATGGGCATTTGCCCCAAAGTTTCTTCCCTTCAGTCCAGCAGGGAAGCAGGAGTTGACTCAGGAGAGATGGGGAACACGGTTCCCCAGACAAGGGGAACAGCAAGAGCAACCGCATGGAGGGGAGAGATAGCATCCTGCTTGTGGACGGAGCTGAGTTTGGTGTGAGGGGAAAAGGAAGTGACTGGAAGATGAAGCTGGTGAGGTTGGCAGAGAGCAGTGTGGAGGGTCTGGAACACCAGGCTAGGGATTTAGAACTTGATCATACTGACAACTAGGAGCCACAGAAGATTCTAAACAGAGGGAGAAGTCACAAGGTTTCTTAGCACCATTACCAAGCTCAACACATTAGGCAAAATAGCCTCCTACCAGTCCTTGGGCCGCAGCCACCAGTGTAATTTTCCCAAGGCCAACCTGCCCACCCCAACCCTGGGCTTGGCTAGGAGAGGACACTCCCCAGCCTGGACTTCAACCTCCAGCTCAGCGTCTTTATTGTGCTTCCAATCATACTCAAAGGCTGGTGCACTCTCAAACGGGGAAGAGACAGAGCCTCTGGGTCTAGGACTCACTGAGGACTCCAACCCTTAAACCATGCAGACCATTTGCCTTTCGTAGGCTTTAAGTTTTTCATGCTACCTGGTTTCCTTACAAAGCTCTGTCTTTCCCATATCAAGACCTGGCTTAAAAATTTCCCAGGACACCCTTTTAATAATCAGTGAGTCCGGACTCAGGATCTTCAAGACTGGAGCCTCAGCATAACCCTGCTGAGTTCAGGGTTATGAGCAAGACCCCAGCAGAGTCCCTGGCCCCTAGAATAAAGTCAGAACTTCCTTCTGTCTGGCCCCACCTGCCTCTTCATAGTCTCTTCCCATTGGTCCAGGTATCCCTGCCCTGAGAGCTCTAGCCACCCTGAACTTGTCTGGGTCCTCCAGCAAAACAATGCTCTCCCTCACTTCCAGGGCTTTGCCTAACTGACCTCCCTGCCCAGAGCACTGCCCATTCCCTGAGGTTCCCTCCTGACTTCGCTAACCCCGACTTCTGGCATGAGCTTGCCTATCACTCCCTCAGGGAAGCCTTTCCTAATCCCCTAGTATGGGCCAGGGGTCACCAGAGGTGTTCTTTCAGACTACATGCCTTTGGTGCCTCTTTTTTTAAAAATATTTTTCTTTATTGATTTTTAGAGAGAAAGGAAGGAAAAGGGGGAGAGAGATAGAAACAGAGATGAGAGAGAACATCGATCTGCTTAGATGACATGCCTTTGTGCATGCTGTTTCCTCTGCCAGGAATAGATTTCCCTCCTTGCCTGCCCAGTCCTTGCCAAGCAGCAGGATTTCTGTTACCTTTATACAGATGAGGCACAGCAGGGCCAGAGAAGAGAGGTCCAGTAACCTGTTGCTAGAATGCCACAGCGAGGAGTGGATAAAATCCTGTGCCAGCTATATGGTCTTGAGAACACCGCTTAGCCTCTCCGTGCTTGGCGTCCTCACCAGTGAAATGGGTTACCTGCTGCATAAGGTTGGTGTGAGGCTTACAGAAAAGCTGTACTGCGCGGCCTCTATTCTTTTGCTCCCGAGGCCATCCATTCAACATTGGCTCCTTCTGACATCAAAACCCTGCAATGCCTGCCTTGCGCCCCGCCTGAGCAGGGTGCTGGAACTCGGTATATATAAGTCAGACACAGCTCCAGCCCCAGGTCCCTCGGGAGGGATGGGAGCAGAGGGCAGAAAGGTCACTGACAATCCTCTGTCAATAGTGACGCTCCCTCTCCCGTATGGGGCTGAGAAAGGCGGCATGCTTCAGGAAGTCCTCTCTTTGTTTTCAAAAACTTATTTTTCACCGCTTCTTGAATCTGGACATTTCACAGCATCCAACGCTCGCCTCCTCGCGCTGAGCCCTAGCAGCGGGGGAGGGCGAAGAGCCCTGTGAGAGCTGTGTCCCACCTCTTTGGGGGGCTCCACTTAGCCCACTACCTCGGATAACCCACCTTTATCCTGCTTCTTTCCCTACCCCGACCCCTGTTCCTATCACATGACTCCCTCTCTCCCAAACAAGGCAGTCCCCATGCCCCGGTCCCAGTCATATCAGTCCTTTCCACCTCTCCCTCCATGGGGTCCCCAGGTTACTCCTCCGCCCCACCCCCGCTCGGCTCTGTAAGCTGCCCTAGCCCATCACTGCTCTCTCTCCAGCCTCACCTCTATACTTTTGGCCCCGCCCTCTCCAAGGTAGAGTCCACGTTCCGCAGCGCTCCGCTCTCTTCCCACTGTCCCATTGGCTCCTGCTGCTTGACGGCGCGGACGGAGGGAGGGCACCTGGAGAGGGTCCCGCCCCTTGCCCGTGGTCTGGACGAAGGGGGGGGGCTCGGATGACTCCGCCCTCTTTGGGCGGAGCCTCGCTTGCTGGCTCTGAGGCTCTGGGCGGTGCTGCCTCAGCTCGGCTGGGCCCGCAGCTCCTTTTGGGGTGGGCGACCGGGATGACAGCGGCGGGGGTGGCGGCTGCTGCAGCGCGGGGCTGAGCGAGCGGCGTGCGAGCCAGGGGAAGAGGAGGAAGTGGAGCCGCGACCCGGAGCTCCGGAGTCAGGGGCCGCGCCGAGATCCGCCCGGTTTTGCAGAGCGAGCCGAGTCCGGACCTGGGAAGACTTCCCTCCGGGCTCCTATCTTCCCGGCCCGGCTCCTGCCGCCGCGGGTCCTCGCTGGCGTCCTCAGCAGCCCCGCCTGCCCCGGCCCCGGATTCCGCGTCGGGACGCTTCCAGCCCCACGGTCCGGGACGTCGTGCCCGGGGCTCCGGAGCCCCCGACTCTGATTCGGTGCACCTGGGCGGGACGCCCCTGGCCCACCATACGGGTCCATGGTTGCGGGCTCGGTCCCAGCCTTTTCTAGTGTGTGTCGGAGCCCCCAGCCCTCCGCCCGGCGTTAACGCTGGTTGTCCCCAAGATCCCGACTGAGTGCAAAGGAGCCCGGACGCCCCCAGCCTCTGTTTCCCCGAGACCTGGACCAGCTGCTTCCCACCGGTGCTTAGGACTTGGGAGCGGCGAGCGCCCAGGAAGCCCCGGCCGGGTCAAGCGCCCCGAGAAGGCTCCCGGGCAGGTTGGACAATCGGACTGAAGGTCGGACTGAATCAGACCTGGGTGGTACTGCGAGCCGAAGCTGCCTCCTTCCTGCGGTCCCAGGCCAGGGACTTGGCGCTTGCCCCGAAGAGAACACAGGGGCCCCTCTGCCCCGGCGGCCGGCGGGAGCCGAGAGCTGCAGGTGAGAGAGCCCCGGGCAGCCTCCCAACCCATCCGGGCCGCGCCGGGGCCGGCTGCGGGCGCGTGCCCGGCGCTAGCGAAGGCTGGAGCTGTCTGGAAGGGGGCAAGGGAACGGAGGGGGGAGAGGAGGGCGAAAAACGGGCACTTATTGAGCACCCATTGTGTGCGAGTCCACGCTCCACCCTTGCGGAAGTGGTCCTTCATTAAGGCTCACTAATAATACTCGGTGTGATAATAGGTGTCATGTACTGTTATGGGCGCTTACAGATGGGGAAACTGAGGCTCAACGTGGTTGAGGGGCCCTGCTGTTTTCACTCTGGAGGTGAGACTGGGAGGAGGGTTAGGTTGGAGAGGGAAAGAAAAAGAAAATGAAGAGAAAAAGAAAAGAAATTAATAGCCACCAGGCAGGAGGTGGTGGAAAGTGTCAAGGTGGTGCCACTTGTCATCCTAGAGCTGATCCTGAGGCTGAGAAGGTAGCTTTTCTGGCCTCCCTCTCTCCCCTCTGTGGCCGTGTCACCACCCAGGAAAGGTGCCCCAGAGCTGGGGGCAGAGGTGGGAAACCTCTCGCTTCCCCAGCTCCCCTCCCTTTGGGCCTTGGGCCAGACAGGAGAGCATGGCCCCTGCCGCAGACTCCAGGGTCTCCTCGGCCCTCTGCAAGTCCCCAGACAGTGCTTGTCTGTTGGGGAAACTCCCTGTAGAGGTCCCGAAGTCAGCCTATCCACGAGGAGGCCCCTCAGCACCCGTTCAGCTCACCTCCTTCACATTACCAACAGGGTGTGAGTATGTGGGATGAGGGGTGGGAGTAGGGTGTGTGTGTGTATGTGTGTGTCTGTGTGCGCCAATTGTCCCAGGTCCTCAAGCAGTGAGTGAGTGGTTGAGCCACAATTACACTTTAGGAAACCTTCCCAAACATCCTTCAAGGCATCCACTCCCCCTCCCAGTGAGCATCTTCTGGGTGGGTGGCTGGGTCTTTCCCCACCCCTGATGGGAGGTCAGGCTGACCACATATGAGGCTGTTGTGAGAGTCTGTGTGGTTTGTGCTGGGTTCCAAGACATACCAGCAGCCTCATAGCCTTTGGCCCAGACTAAAGATCTAACCTTAGCCTCTCCTGGGCAAGGGGAACCAGCAAGACACCTCTGACCCGCGAGGGGAGAGCTTGCTCACCGGCTCAAGGCTGGGGCTGCCAGAGCTGGGGGCCCAGTCCTAGGTGTCTGGATTTTCAGGTAGGGGTTCCTTCTGCTACCCACCCCTCCCCACTACAGGGGAGTTCAGGGAGAGGGGTGTTGTGAAAGGCTTGGCATGGATTCTATAGGCTCTTGTTCTGGGTGGGATAGGGGAGGGGACACGAGTTCTCTGAGCCCTGTAACCTTGGCTGGGACTGTTTAACCCCTGCTGTGCCCAGCTTCCTGGAGTCTAGGGGAAACCACCTGGAAAGCCCCTGGGAGGTGGAGGAGAGTGAGTTCACCTGAAAGCTGGAAGCTCCGTCCGTCCGTGGGGATGGAAGGGTCAGGGGAACTGCAAGAGAAGGTGACTGAGGGGCTTGGGATTCCTCCCAATCCGTGGAGATTTAAATCCTCAAAATAATCCCTGCCTCTCAACAAAGCTCCTTGTTGATGAAATAATTTCACACCTTTGATCTCATTCAATGGAAAGAACCTGCACTGAGGCAAACAGGGTTGGGGAGCCACATGCACTCAAGCCTCCCAGCCTCACCTGTAAAATGGGGTCAAGGGAGGCTGTGTTACCGGTTCAGTTAATGGGGCTATCATATCTGACACACTGTCAAGTGCTAAAGAGGTGTGTGTGTTTGTTTTTTGTTTTATTGTTTACCGCGACTGGGATTGTTATTAATGCCTACCTTGAGTGGGACACTGAGAGGTGAAACCCCTCGCCTTTGAAACAAATGCAGAACCTTTGCATTTGTTTCACCAACTGAGTGCTAACTGCATACCAGGTGCCTGGAAGTTCCCCGATGGAAAAGGCAGTGTGATGACTAGCTCACAACTGGGTGGGCTAAGCGGCACAGGCAGATAGTGGTGAGACAGACCAGATGGGTGTGAGTTCGCTCTGCCTCCCACTGGCCATGTGGCACTGGGCAGATCACTTCACTCCTCGGAGCCCCAGCTTCTGCTCTGTAAATTAGAATTCTTCCTTTATGAGGTTGTTGTGAATATTAAGTGAGATATAAATATACAGTGCTTGGCAAAATATCTGCTTCCTTCCCTATAAGGAAAGGAAGCTTGAATTTTGACCAGGAAATCTGGGAAAATTCTCAGGCTTGCCTTAGATTAGAATGCAGGCTACTGTTGCAGGCTCACAGACCTAGGTTTGTTCAGTTGGGACTCTTGTGTGGGTCAGGCTCTCCTGTGCCACCTTCCTGGTCTCATGGCCCTCTGGAATCTGCTTGGGGACCCTGGCACGGGGCTTGGGAGACTAAGCCCCCACCCCAGGGCCAGGGTTGGGGAGTTGGTATTTATTCCTCTGCCTCTTTGTCTGGCCTCCCTTAGGCACAAAGGTCCAGTGAATAATTTATGGGTCCCCTCAGCTAGGAGGCAGGCTCAGAGAGAGTGCTCTGTGCCCAGCTGAGCTTCTGAATTCCGTCCTCCCCCCAGAGGAGGTGGTTTATTTCTGTTAGTGCTATAAGAAATCTTGGACATGGGGGGACGGAGACAGGACAGGAAGAAAGTGACCTGTTATCAACCCTGTCTTTTCTCCAATGGAAACCAAGTTAGCTGAGTTAGGGTCAAGCTGTGGGCCTCTGATTCCCAATGGGATGAGAAATGGCAGGGAGAGGCCCTTGATGACTGGAGTAACCATGGAAGGCTTCATCAAGGAGTAAGGGGTCTAGGCTGGGGTTAGTGGCAACTTGCTATAGAGAGTAGGGGTCCTGACATCAGCTCAGCGTTGAATCCTGGCTGTGCTGCTTACTCACTGTGAGACTAAAGCAAGACACCTGATCCCGCCAGGCCTCCATTTGTTCCTCTATGAAAGTAGGGTTGTTGTGGGTGACTGTGAGGTTATATATGTGAAACATGTGGCCCGATAGTACTTAGTGACGGGAACTTCCTTGTGAATGTGAACCACGAGTGGGCTAACAGCCGGGGAGATGGGATAGGGTAGTGAGCAGAGAAGTGGGTTGCACGCTAGGGTAGTGCTGCCAGGGGTTTATAGGGTCAGTGAGGCGTGTAGAGAACAGGGGCTGATGACCAGATGGTAGAGGGCCTTGAATGTCAGACAGATTTCACATTTCAGAAAGCATCATGGAGTACCTACTCAGAACCCTTAAGATGGAGACCGGGCCCCTTTGCTGTGTATTCAAGGCCTTGCCCACTGTAGCCACTGCATGGACCTCTGGCTTATTGCTTATCACTGTCTCCTAAACATACCACACATGGCCCCATCACTACTTCTATGCTTGTGGGGTTCCTCCTGTCAGAACTGCCATCCCTGCCTCTTTTCTGCTCACCCCCCCATCTGTTGAGGTCCAACTCCAGTCGCAAATTACCCCAGAAACATTCCTGGATTATCCAGCCCTCTGGCCACACCCCTCTGCATCTTTAACATTTCACATTATCGGTAATAAATAACACCTACCATTGCGTCCCATTCTACAGTCTATAGAATGTATCCACATACTCAATAATAACACTGTGACGATGACATTAATGGTAGCTAAAGCTTTGGGTACTTATTATGAGCCAGACACTGCTAAGCACTTTACAGACACTCTCATTCACAACTCTGGAGGTCACTACTGTCATCTCCCAGAAGTGGGGGCTCAGAGAGGTGCATTGGCTTGCTCAAGGTCACACAGCTAGACAGTGGGGAGTGAGGAGTCAAGCCCATGCCCCTACCTGGGACTAAACAGACAACTTGACAGCTTTTAGAAGATAACCTGTCTCCTCAACTGGAGCCAAGTACCTTGAGAGCATACTTTGCATGTAAAAAGCTTGGAAATGAGCCTTATTTTCAAAGCCAAGGAAGGGCCATGCTGGGGTTTACCGTGGGGCTCAGGAAGGAACCCCCGGCCAGGCATTCAGGGCCATGGGCCGTGCACTGGCTGGCTTTGTGATTTGGGTGAATCAGCCTCTTTCTGTGGTCCTGTTTTTCCACCCGGGAGTGGGGGTGGTTTCCGAGCTCCAGGAGTTCCAACTTCTGCAGTGTCCTTCATGACCCTGGAAGGTAGAGGAGGAGACCACAGCATCAGGGCCAGAGGATGTGGTGTGCTGGGCGGCTGTGATTCTTGGCCTGGCTTCTGTCTGGGACAGTGGGCTCTGTAGTTAGCTGCTGCCTTTTCCGAAGGAGGGTGGTGCCCTGTGCTGCTGGCAGCATGGTCATTAGCTGGGCAGAGGAGACTCTGTGAATTGGAAGCCAGCTGGGCCAGGCCAGGTTGGCAGTGCTGGAGGCAGGCTGGCCCAGCCACAGCAGGGTCATTGGCAGGGCAGCTGGCAGGGCAGCCACTGCTCCTCCCTTTGCAGCCTCCAGGGCAGTGGCAAGTACCCACTGGGCACCAGAGCTTTGTAGGCCAAGGCATGCCCTTGCTCTTGTTGTGGTGGTCATGGGAGTGGAAGAGTGAGGAATCTAGCCAGGCCCCAAGATGCCTCCTCCAGAAGCTTGCCAGGACTCCTCCCAAGTAGGCGGAATTCAACCCTCCTCTGCAGATCCATAGCCCTCGCTCACTCTCTGTGGTCTGGGAACGGGGGCTGTATAGGTCTGCTTTCCTTGCCAGCCAGTTGGAACTAGCTTCTGTGCCATTCCAATCCTCCCTCCCCACCACCCAGAGTGCCTAGCAGCATCCCTAGGCAACCACCTGGGCAGGAGAGGCAGTGTGCATGGCCCCTTGGGCAGGTCGCTCAACCCTTGTACTTATAAAAGGGGGCTAATAATAGGAAGTAGGAGTTAATTGGGATGATGGGAAGAAGATGCTGCATCAGCCTGAGTCCACTTGCCCATCCTCTTGGTAGCCCTGTGAACAGTGACTCAGTAGGAAGCTGACTGAA